TACTTTTTGGGGGGAGTAACTCAGTATTGTAATATATTACATTTAAAAGTAACTTTCCCCAACACTGCTCATGACTATGCATTATTTCACCAGGTCTTTGAAGCACAGGTGTTCGGCGAGGTCTGCTAGTGGCTGGGCATTGTGAAGACCTGCAGCACCCGCTTTCACCCCCTAAGTGATGGGCTGGTAGAGCGGTTTAATTGGATATTTGCTGTGCAGCTCACCATCCTTGTCATGACCACCAGGGTGACTGGGACTGCCACCAGCCCCTGGTCCTGTGGACTTACCAGGCAGCGGTGCAGGAAAGCACTCAGCGAATGTCAGCTGTGCCGATGTTCAGTAGGAAACGACACACAACAGTGGTCTTGGTGTTCGGGCTGCCTCCATGAGCCAGAAGTACTGAAGGAACCAATTACAGAGTACCTGTGGTGTCTCTGGGAGTCTCTGAGCAGTGTGCATGAGCTGGCCGGGCAACATGAAGGTGCAGCGACTGCCCAAAATAATGCATGCAGCCATTGGTGTCGGAGACTCCAGGGACCCTAGAGACCGTGATACACCAGTTGTGGGACTTTGTGGTGGGCTTGGGGTCACTGGGGAAGGCTGACCCCTTAGCTTAGGGGCAGTGAGACACCACAGGTTTTGATCAGCAGGATTGATTATAGAGTTACTGGTGTGTATATTTGTAAATAGTGCAAATCAATATGTGTATTTCTGTATATGTTGCAAATTGTTGGCTTGCATGTCCATGTGCAGCTGCTCGTCTCAGACTAGTGGTGAGTTGTGATTAAAAAGATTTTCCAAGAGCTGTCATCTCTGTTTCTTAAAATGCCCCACAAACTCACTACAGCAGTGGTTCTCAAACTGGGGGCCGCGGCCCCCTGGGGGGCCACCAGATGGCGCTAGGGGGGCCGCATCGAAATTGTAGAATCTAAAAAAAAAAATTACCTGTATGTAAATCAGGCTTGTCAACCTATGTAAAATATAATGTATTTAAAAAAAAAATAGAAGTATAAAAAAAATGTAAATATAAATTTTACGTAGCACACTACGCTGCTATGGACATCATAAATTAATGTTCAGTATTCAGTACTTTTGTTGCACGTTTCATACAATGTTAGTTTTACTGTCAAAACTGTTTTAATACAATGTTATATTTTGTGAAATGTAAATTTAACAAACCAGAGAAATAAAGACTACAAACAGAATCTAAAATCTAAAATTAAGTAAAATTGTAAGTTTGAGGATGTTTTGTCGCGTCGGCAGGCAGGCGAGCCAGGAATGCATGAGAGATCAGCCGGAGATACGGGTAAACGAGTTTTAATTGTAACGAAAGGTGAGACAGGCATGGACATTAACGTACAATACAATGACGGATCTGACGAGACGTACTCAGATGCGGACTAAATACACAAGACTAGCTGGGCATGGCAGTTTTGCGTCATGATTTTTTTTTTGAGGAGGGGGGCCACAAAAGGATTCACCCTACACAAGGGGGCCTCCTGCTGAAAAAGTTTGAGAACCACTGCACTACAGTATTTATAGTGATGACTAATATATAGGGCTGGGGAAGTCCTATTATTATTATTTCTTTGATCGCTTTAACACATGCATTATTATGACATCCAAATTGGAAAACAGAGCAGAGATGTTTAATAGAGACCTACAATATCCCTTCCTGGTAGTAAATAATGCAAGAATTTAGGTTGTGACCTTCCACAGAATCCCAGATTTGACAGCTAAAATTAAAACATTCAGTTATTGTCTCACGGCGAAACAGATGCTAACTGGTTTATTTCTTTTTTAAAAATTACTAGATAGAGGGATACATAGGATAGTAATATTGTAATTTGCAGTATTTGTTTTATTTTATTGAAGGCTTATGCCTTGAAATGTTTCTGTTTTTAGAGTTATTTGCCAAATAGGTTTTAGATCAATCGGGATTAAATAGTGTTTTGGTCCAGTTGTTGAGTACAAGCAATTATATGCACAGGTGATACAAGTCATTAATTAATTGCCAGGGTGTGCAATTTAAAAAATATATTGTTTATCATCTTTACGTATAACACAATGCCCTCTGGTTGCTTATTGCAATCTGTTCATTTAGCCTTTTTGAAAGCATTGAAATCCAACTTGAACTTGCTTGCCTGTAGTATTTTTGTTGGAAATGAATAATCTGTACATCACAGAGAGTTTAAACATTAAATACAAAATATGGGTCATTCTAAATAAGTTGAGAATTTTTTTGGAAAAAAACTTTTTATGTTTTTATGTAGAGCAATTGGCCTTAAAATTTTAAGTACATCAAAATTACTTGTTCCTCTGATTAAATAGGTAACCAAAATTAAAACACATCACTACAACCGGAAAAGTTGGGACATTCTTTAAATTTGAATAAAATGAGAACTAAAACTTTCAAATCACGAGGCAATATTTTATTCACAACAGAACATAGATAAATATTTAAACTAAGAAATTTGACAATTTTATGCACAAAATGAGCTCATTTCAAATTTGATGCTTGCTACATGTCTCAAAATGGTTGGGACAGGGGCATGTTTATCATGGTGTAGCATTTCCTCTTGTTTTCAAAACGGTTTAAGGACGTCTGGGCATCGAGGTAATGCGTTTCTGCAGTTTTTGTGTTGGAATTTGGTCCTATTCTTGCCTCATATAGGTTTCTAGCTGCTGAAGAGTGTGGTAATGATGCGCCAAATGTCCTCTATAGGTGAAAGATCTGGACTGCAGGCAGGCCAATTCAGCACCCGGACTCTTCTCTCATGAAGCCATGCTGTTGTAATAGCTGCAGTATGTGGTATTGCACTATCCTGCTGAAATACACAAGGCCTTCCATTAAATAAATGTCGTCTGGAGGGGAGCATATGTTGCTATAAAACCTTTATATACCTTTTGGCATTCATAGTTCCTTCCAAAACATGCAAGCTGCAAATACTGTATGAACTTATGAACCCCTGATTTACACGCTGGAAGGTCTCCCTCCTCTTTAGCCCGGAGGACACGGCATCTGTGATTACCAACAAGAATGTCATATTTGGACTCGTCTGACCATTAAACACTTTCCCACTTTGAAGCAGTCCATTTCAAATGAGTCTTAGCCCACAGGACACAACGGCGCTTCTAGACCATGTTCAGATATGGCTTCCTTGTTAGATGACAGAGCTTTAGTTGGCATCTGCAGATGGCACAGCAGATTGTGTTTACCGACAGCAGTTTCTGGAAGTATTCCTGGGCCCATAAATGTCACTGACACAATCATGCCGATGAGTGATGCGGTGTCATATGAGAGCCACAAAGGTCTTCGGCCTTGTCCCTTATGCACAGAGATGTCTCCAGTTTCTCTGAATCTTTTGATGATGTTACGCACTGTACATGATGAGATTTGCAAAGCCTTTGCAATTTGACATTGAGGAACATCATTTTTAAAGTATTCCACAATCTTATTACACACTTTTTCACAGATTGGAGAGCCACTGCCCATCTTTACTTTTGAGAGACTCTGTCTCTCTAAGACATCCCTTCTATAGCTAATCATGTTACAGACCTGATATCAATTAACTTACTTAGTTACTAGATGTTGTCCCAGCTGGATCTTTTTAAACTTTCTTGCTTTTTCAGCCATTTGTTGCCCCCGTGCCAACTTTTTTGGGACCTGTAGCAGGCATCAAAATTGAAATGAGCTCATTTAGTGGATAAAGGTATACAATTTCCCAGTTTGAACATTTGTTATCTATGTTCTGTTGTGATTTGAAAGTCTTTTAGTTTTCATTTTCTTTGAATTTAAAGAACGTCCCACCTTTTCCGGAATTCGGGTTGTAGATAAAATGTTTTTACATTTTTCAACTTTATTGCATGTAAACCACAATAAAAAATTTGTATGATAAGATGTTTACTTATTGCTTACTTATTTTTTAGTTTTAGTTTTTCCTTATATCTGTAACTCTTACCCTGGATTTGATTAAGTATTTTTTATTACATAAAGAAAACAGTAATAAGAAATTGATTAACTTCCCTGAGGCGAAATCAAAAAATAAGTTGTATAATTGGAGTCTCTTATCAATTCAATTTAGAGAAATCTGATACGTTACAGTAATGAGTTTGTGAAAATGACCCAAATTCTTCCCTTTGACAAATGATAGATAAATCAGATAGATAAATACTTTATTGATCCCTGGAGAGAAACTCAAAATTTGGAGACACAATATGTAAATATGTATAAGTTTTAATGTTAGGTGCACTTAATCATGAAAACTGTGTGATTAATTTTTTAGTCGATTCACGGTCCTACTAACATATATATCATCTGGTCCAAAATTATACTAGGGGTGGTCAGTTCAGAGTTTGTGTAATTAAAAATTTTGGTTAGCAGCTATCACTAGAATGTTTCAGCCCACTCAGAATGAATGTTCAAAAAAATTAAAAAACAATGAAACAACACATCAAAAATGTAACCTAAGACAGTCAATACAGCATTTAAAAGTCCAATACATCTCTGACAGACACATAAATATAAATCAAGTGCAAAGTAATGCTTAAATACTCCAGATTAAATATTTTTCTCTTCAGTTTCTCTGAACATAATAAAATGTTCCACATTACCCAACAGAAGCACTCCAGTTAAACCAGTTAAAGGTGTCACATCGATCAAGACAGAGATTCTAGCCTGTGTTCAGTTGCAGACCCATGTCAACATCATGGCAGACTGAGGAAAACAAATGTTCTAATTGAAATTGAATTGCTCTTTAAAATTGAAACATTTCAATGCATTTCACCCAAAATAATAGATGTTCCCTGCTTCATATTGTCATTTTGTATTAGGAACATCACAGTGCAGCACTGCAGACTGCAGTGTACATGCACACGGTACAACCTGGACTTGCAGTCTTCTGACCCAGTGCAACTATCATTCAAGTATTACCAATCCCTGCTCACCTGACAATGCTGACAAAATATAACTATAAAATTTCACAAATTGCTATTTTGGTGATTTTGATGTTTGTTGCTATCTTTGACTTGCATTACAGTGTGCTCTACCCTACTGTCACCTGAGTTTATTAAATACGAAAGCTTCTGAGATAAACAACAGTTCACACATTCCACATTCTATGATGCTAATAAAAGTTTGTGTATTTAATACATGTACTTTCAAATGAACACCAGCGCTTCAAGAAACAGCCTCCCATACCTCATTCCCCAGTGCTCCCCCTATGGTCCTGCTGTAGGCTAATAAGGCAGAGACATGAGAGGAGACTCATTCCTGGAGGACAAATATCATGCAGTGAAGTCACATGCCTGACACCCTCTGGAGCATTTATTGCAGCCGAATGGCCTGAAAGAGTTTACTGCTTTGAGCCAATTCCACACACACACACACACACATGATTAACCTAATGACAGCTGACCTATACCACTAATGCAGCGACTCAGTAACTAAGTGTCTTTCCAGCGGCAGAGGACACGTGTGAAATCCTAATGTGCCACTTTCCAAAAAAACTCCTACACAAACTTGGTGCCCACCCAACTCTGTGGAGCTACCATCTAGCTGGGCCCCTGCATTAGGTTCCTCTCGTAGTTCTCCAAGCAGATCTGGACACGCTGGGTGAAGTAGCTGCGATTGGAGATGGCCTGCAGCAGGTCATTTTGCACCAGGCAGATGTTGTACAGTTCAGAGGTGGAAGCCACACGTGTCAGCGTACCCTCTGGGTCCAAAAACACCTTAATAAGAACACACAAAAAGCTAGATCTGACTGATCCAGAAAGAGTTTTGTCTTGGTGTCATTTTCCCCAAAAGAGCTGTAACCTGCTGACACATGACCCGACCAAAACTCCCACAATGTTTTCTGTTCCACATCATTACTTAATATGGCGTAATGTGAAAAAAATACTGCCCATTTCACAGCAATACTATTTACTATTCCATTATGAGGAATCTGTACAACATACAGATTAATCTTATGGTTTAAAAAAAAAAAGACTGAAAAATATAAAATACTACAGATAAAGCTACAAAATGAGAAGGAAGAGGGAGAGTGAAGAAATGCACCTTTGGCTGGACGATGGTGTCCTTGTCATCCAGGCGGATGTTGTCGTCTATGAAGATGTGCTGCACTGTGGGGTCAAAGGGGTCCACCAGCAGCGGCTTTCCACCCAGGATGGAGTAGGAGTTGCGAGCCCACCTGAGGAGAAGCATGCCAGCCACAAATACATACCTGAATATTAATAAAAAAAATTTAAAAAAAACTCAGTAGCTAAATTCTCAGTGTAGAGGGACCAACTCAACTCTGTGTGTGTGTGTCTTGTTAAACATCTTGTGACACACCCAGCCAGATCTGAGAAGCTGAGGACCAGTACACATACACAGTCCAGCTCCTTCAAACACACACCAGTCAAAGTGGTCCTGGAAACCTCCCAGGCCCTGGACAGAGCTGAAGAACTGGTAGAGGCACCGCTCCCCGTCCTGGTATAGCATGCGCTCATCAGCCCGGCTCAGGCTGGCGCCTCTTCGGCTGCAGCGGATGCGCCCTGGGATGGTGTTAATGGTCAACTGGAAGATTGAAGAAATTAGCTGATCCCACTGCTTCATTCTCAGAACATTTACTCAACTTGATGACTGGAATTGGAGAATTACTCATATTGCTTCATTACTAATTGCCTTCCTCTCTATCAAAAGGAAACATTTTCTACTGTATCATTACAGTCTTGTTCCAGTCCTCCATTAATGATAAGTGCAATTCTCTAACAGTCACCAAATGTATTCACGCTTTACTCCAAAGCATCTTATACAGCTTTAACTTTGACATGACGGATAGTAAATCAAGTAGTAAGTAAAGTAAATCAGCTTAACCAGATACCTTCATCATAGCTAAGAATCTAGTTATATCGTAGAGAACCCCAGAGGTTAACCCCAGAAGTTCACTTAAAATGAATTCTCTAGACAAAGCCTTCAAGATTCCAAGGGGAAAAAAAAAGTCTATAAAAAAAACTAAGATGCTTCAATAACTTACAAGAACTTGCTAGTCTCTGCTAGTTCACAGCAGCAGCAAGGGGGGGTCATTCCATTTTAATTCAGCAAATGACCTTTGCATCATTGCATTTTCCATGTTGATGAAATTTGAGCTGTGAATTACACCTGTCAGAGCTCAGAAGTTATTAGTTTTTGACAAAGTGTCTTAATGAGTGTCCCTCTAGTGAAGAAAATGTGACCCAGTGCCCTATAAGGTACCCTTACAATGGTCTAAGTGGTCCCCATGGGTACCCTTCCAGAGGAAAAGGGTGCAGTTATAAAGTGCCCTCTTTGTCACCCCTATATGATTAAGTGTCCCAAAGGGTGCCCTTTCCAAAAGAGAATGCAAATGGTGCTCTTTAGCAGCGAGAAAACATAAAATGCCAATATAAGTGCCCTTCCAGTTGGTAAAACGTGTTGCAGCGCTGTAAAGGGTGTCCATCCATATGTGAGAATGTGAGGAGCTGTCCTAATGAATTGCCCTCTAGGGTGCACTTCCAAGTGAGGAAACATGATGAAGTGCTCTTGTAATGTGGAGAAAAGTATCTCTGATTGCTGCCCTTCCAGTGAAGAAAATGAGATATGGTGCACTACTATTAGATGTAGTTTCCTGTACATGTGAGAAAAGTAGATTAAACAATGTACCCTCTCGGTGCTCCTATGTATATATGAAAAAGTGATATCTAGGTTGCCTCTGTAGGCAACAAAAAGTTAGTTGAATAATTTTAATTGGGGATGAAGACTTCTTCCCCATACAGATCTTACCAGTGGATGTAATTGCCGTCATGTAATAGGTGCCCTTTTTATTTTTTCGCCCCTGATCTTCAAACAGCCTGAGTCCTACACTGAGTCTACTGTGATGTCTATACTGCAGATCACAAAAGTGATAATTGTTTTCTTATGAGATGTAACCGTTTCATAGTTAAAGCTAAATGGCTAACTGTAGCTTGCTGAAAAACTTTGGGGGTGATTCCACTGAATCCAAAAATGGTCATGCAAAAGCTGTTTTGGAAAATTGTGAATTGAAATGGAATGACACAGGTTGGGGGTACAGAGGTACAGAGGCTGGAGGCAGCAGCAGCAGCTCACTCTGAGTGCCGGGAGGTTGGGGAAGAGTGGGTGAGAACCCTGGGTCAGTACGCGCTGCAGGGTGCTAAGCAGACGTGGCAGGTCTGTCCCAAAGGTGCGGAAGATGATGGCGAACTCCCCGCCCCTGGTGGCCAAGTCCTGCAGCAGCTGGAAAAAGGAAGGAAGGATCCAGTGGTATAGCCGGCCATCCTCGCCTCTCACAGAGAGCTCCCGGTCCTCCTCCTGCTCTGTGGGCCAAAGCAACATGTGCAGGTGCTCCTCCAGGACGCTCCTGAATCGTCGCCCAGCAGCAGTGCTGGTGAAGCCTGCCACCCGACCGAAGTGGGAGTAGTAACTCACAGCGCCCTCACAAGGTGGGAGGAGGGAGGGTGAATCACTTATCCACTCCCATTTACCTGTAAAAAGTGCAAGATGTACAGAGGGCAATGAAAAAAACCTTCTGAGCCTGCTAGTTTAATCTGACTCATGGTAGAAGTGATTCACAGGGATTGGGGCCATGTAGAAGTATCCCCAATCGTTTATTTCATCTCAAAATCAACAGTAGGGGATCAGTCTGTGTCCTGGAATCCACACGGGGTATGATACAATCATGGTGGACTGATGGAGCACATGCTGTAGTTTTGCCGATATACAAATTGCGAATTATCACAGAGAGGGAGTAAATGGTACGGCAAACCGAGACCGGACAGGGTTTAACACATAAGTGCATGATGATGTGGCATATAGAAATGCTACTGACATTTGCTGAATTTTTATTTTACCGTCGGATCCTGCTAGATTATGCCTTACGGCTTTCAATTACATAAAACCTATGACGGCAGAAGACACGCTTATCGTACTCGGGCAATCATACGCAACCAAAAGGGGGCGTGCTGAACCCGTTGACGACATACAGTATGAAGCAAGGGGAGCGGCAGGGGAAGGATTATAATCATATACTACGCTATATTTGAACTGGGAATTTCCGTATTCAGAGCTCCAAATTTAAGATGGGGACCGCAACTCCGACCTCAGAAGTCACGATTGGATGTACACTTCATCATCAGAAATAAAGCTGTGCACTCTGGATATTCTGACCCTAGAACTGCCGCTGCTTTAAGCCTGATTACTAAATGAATTTTAAAACAGTACCTTGTTTGGTTATTCGTCCCCAAGTAACTGTAGACAGAAAGTAGTCCAAAGCCGCAATAGTCCCTTGTTTGGTGACGGTATCAGACACCAGGACCGTGTTGTTGAGATCGATATGAAGAATAAGTTTTCTTTGTCGCAGGATTCCTGAAAAAGAGGGGCCGTGTCTGTCTTCTTCCTGATGAGTTAACACTGGAAAATCAGGATCATTAAAACTATCACTTTGCGTGGACGAAGTGCGTTCATTTGTGGAGCCGAGGTCATGTGTTTTAACTCCTTCCAAGGATCGTGCATTTCCACTTGTTTTCTCACCATTAAACATGATTGGCAGCTGATACACAACGGTGTTTTAATATTAGACTTGGCGTATAAACAGACATATACTTAGAAGCTCTGCGTCATATTTTAGCAAAAGTTAATCAAAATCAGACTGATTTATTAAATACTGACTTTGTAAGAATAAAACGGGCGATATGCCAAATTGAGTGAAATAACTCATGGAAAAATAGCTAGAGACATGTGCTTCCCGATTAACAGAGATTTTTCCACTTTTTTTAATAACATGCAAAACAAAGTATCTGGCGACTCACTAACCGTCCCATTAACAAATCAGTTCACCAGGCTTACTGCACGAAAATTGCTAGTTTATTAACCAGAAAACTTAAAGGCCAACTCAAAGGGCCCATTCAATTCAGCTACATATGTATAAAAAGGTGTAATCCAGAATAAGAGAAAAAAACGCAATCCTTCATTGCCACCGAGAGGTTTTCACGCCGGCTTTTCTTTCAATCAGTACCGCATGATGCAGGAACCTAAAGAAGTTATTTTCTTCCTTACGGATATGACGTAATCGAGAATTAAAACAACATAGAAAGTCACCACTGAACTTTGGCAGTACAGGAGCAGTGAGCAGCGCCATCTAACAGACAAAATTAGTATGACGGGGACGAATGTGCCTGTAGTTCCTCTAGACCAGGGGTGGACAATCTTATCCACAAAGGGCCGGTGTGTATGCAGGTTTTTGGGATAATCTTTAAGTCAGCTGATCAAACCCAGGTGTGAAGACTCTTCAGCCAATTAGTCCTTTAATTATGTAGCAAAAACCTCCCCCCACACACAACAGCCCTTTCTAGATAAGATGGGCTACTCTTGCTCTAGAAGAGTGTTTCTCAAACCCTAACAGTACATGTTTTTGCCCTCTCCAAAATATGTGAACTGTCTGGGGGTCCCCAAGGACCGGTTTGTGAAACACTGCTCTAGACGTTCCTCAGAGAGATCAAAAATCCTCATTTAAAATTAAATCAAGCTCAGTACACATTAATAAATAATCCTCCCTTGCAAGTTTTTCAAAAAAAGATTTATTTATATTACCCATTTATACTTTATTCACAGCAGCATTCTCAGTCATAATCCCGAAAGTTCTATTTATGCAATCCAATAGAAAAAAAATAAAACAAAAAAGGCAGAGGAGAGATTAACAAAAATACAAAGACAGTCCACTTAAAACACAATGAAAACACAATGTGGGGAGAAACAACATTGCACTAGAAGGGTACAGTGTCAACATGCACATTTTAGTGTGTTATCAAGTTTAGAACTTGTTTTGTCTTGTCTGTCACAAAGCACATCCATCGAGTTTTTGCTAATAATTTAGGATGACATCCTCTCAGATTGGGTGGAAATATCAGGGGTATCGATTAGAATATTTTCTGCTCCTTCCTCATAAAACACAACATTCAATCAATAACTGACATTTTCACCAGCTCATTAATTTCAAAAGGCAGAGCAAAAAAAAAAAAAATTCCTTCCACCAGGTCTTCGCAAAAATGAACCGAATCTGAATGAATAAATCAAGAACTGAAAGCCCTTTCTGAACTCTGCATATGTCTGTGCATGTTTGTGGAAAGGGGGTCCAGAAAAGAAGAGAGCTTACACTGATAATGAAATGAGCTCAGAGGCTGAAGAGGTCCCTTACCCCATTTTGCCTAGAAACTCTCTTCTGGGCTTTAATCGGTGTTAATTGCAAGGCCACTATTTGCACGCAAAAAAAGCAATAGAGGATCGAACTGGGTATGCAAGTTTATGCATGTACACAGTATGTGTGTACCTGTTTGCATTTTTATTGTGCATACAATATTACCCCACTAATTTCCATTGTGAACTTTTTACAAATGCTGCTTCATTAATACACTCAATTAGTAAGCACTGAAGTGTCTTTTGCTGATGTAATTTCCTAGGTAAATGTTGACCTGTAAACCTTTATCCTGTTCCAGTGATAACACTCTAATCCACTTCTTCCATGTTACTGTACGACGGGGCGGCACAGTCCCCAGAGTGCGCAAACAACTCAGTGGTCACTTCTGGAGTCAGCTGTGGGGGTCCTTCCGAGTCCAGGTCTGTTCCATACCTTGCCTGGTCAGAAGCCTGTAAAATAAACCGGGGTTACAATACATTTTTGATATCTTCTTTCCAAATAATATAGTCAATTATTAAGCATCTAAAAATGTTTCATTGCATTGAAAATTAAAAGTGAAAGGTCTAAATGCCATACTTAACCATGTGTAAATCTACAAAAGATCACACTATTCAAGATGTACAGTATGTGAAAATAATCATTTACACAAAATGTACTTGACATTTTATTTTTTATGTAATACAGGCAAACCTTTTTGGTTTCTAGGAAGAACCCGTACAAATTATTGCTCAGAGGACAATTTAAAATAATTTAACATTCAATTCTAAACATCAGAACAAAATACATTTGTTTATTTTTTGCATTAACAGCTTAAAATGTTTTATATATACACACACAAGCCTATATTTCTACAACTGCAATAAAATATTTAAGTTAACTTAAAAATTATACCAGGATTTTTTTCCCAAAATAGAAGTTAACATTCACAACTATGAATTTAATTAGGGCATAGATACATTTGAAAAATAAGACTCATTACCGAAAATACTTAATAAACCATGGTGATCTCACTCTGGGGTTTTTAGTCATAAGCAGGAGTTACAGGAGGAGACTCAAGTCAGCATGTAAGGCATTTCAGTCAGGGCATTGATCTGATTATGAAGCCCTTTATTAGTGTTTAATATATTAAACTGGATGAAACTGCTGCTGAACAGCAGGAAGAGAGATTAAATCATTTCAGTCCTGGTTCACTAAAGCGGGGATGGGAGTAGGGCGATTGCAGCTTCGCATTACAGCCTCTTTACCGCATGTCAGCAGAACATTCAGAACACAAGCAGACACGTCCAGCTCAAAGTGCCACCAGGGCCGGAACCTTAACCTTAAATAAATCCTCAAGGAGATTTAGCACTACCCTGTTAAAGTTGCTAAACCCATCTCTTAGGCTTGGATATGCTCCAAAACCTTTTAAAATAGCCGTTATTAGACCAGTTCTAAAGTAACCAAATCTTGAACCTAGTTATTTAGGAAATTATAGATGCATCTCTTATCTTCCGTTCATTTAAAAGATCCTAGAATAAGTTTTTCATCAGCTGTCTTCTTTTCAACAGAAAAATACTGCTAATGAATTATATATCACTCTGGCTTTAATAAATAATAATAATAATAATAATACATTTTATTTATAACGCACTTTTCATTAACAAAATCTCAAAGTGCCACATTAAAAACAACAAAGTTAAAAATATCCATAAAATCAAAATAATATCACTACTACTAAATATGATATCTTAGCAGTTGTATGCTTTCCTAAATAAAAAAAGTCTTCAAATTTGCTTTGAAAGAGTCCAGGTGCTTTGTAACTCGCAGCTGGACAGGAAGATGGTTCCATAGCTGTGGGGCAACAGAGCAAAAAGCTCGACCTCCCATAGTACACAGCTTAGTAGAGGGAACTTGAAGTAGCATACTACCTGATAGACCCAACCATACCACAAAAACAGCTTTAATCAAAGTAGTGAATGATTTGCTTATGACTTCTGACCATGGCTGTATATCTTTGATGGTATTACTAGACTTAACTGCAGCATCTGATACCGTGGCCCATAATATCCTCTTGAACCGGCTAGAATCTGTGGTTGGCAGTAAGGGGACAGCTCTCTCTTGGTTTCACTCATATTTAACTGATCGTTATCAGTTTGTCCACATGAAAAATGAATCTTCCAAAGCGACTGAAGTCAAATATGGTCTCCCACAGGGATCAGTGCTGGGCCCGCTACTGTTCACTTTACATATGCTACCTCTTGGCAACATTATTAGAAGTCATGGTGTTGGATCTCATTGAACTAGCGGCTCAGCAGCTACAGTGGGATCTAAATTTAATTAGTGACTGGGCTGACACCTGACAGATGAAATTTAACATAGACAAATGTAAGGTACTCCATGTAGGGAGCAGAAATATAAAAGTACAGGTATTTTATGGGACCTACTGAAATAAAGGTAGCTGATTATGAGAAAGACCTTGGTGTGTATGTTGATGCTTCCATGTCTCATTCTCGCCAGTGCGGGGAAGCAATAAAAAAAGGCCAATAGGATGTTGGGGTATATCTCCAGGTGTGTCAAGGGAGGTAATGCTAAGATTATACAATTCCTTGATGAGACCTCACCTAGAATATTGTGTACAGGTTTGGTCACCATATCTTAAAAAGGACATAGCGGCCTTAGAAAAGGTGCAGCGTAGGGCCACAAGAATGATTCCTGGTCTTAGAGGAATGTCATACGAGGAAAGGTTATTTGAGCTAAATCTGTTCAGCCTCAAGCAAAGGAGACTGAGGGGGGACATGATCCAGGTCTATAAGATTCCAACAGGTTTGGATGCTGTTCAACCGAATAGTTACTTCAGCATTAGTTCAAATACAAGAACTCGTGGCCATAGGTGGAAATTAGCGGGAGAACATTTCAAACTGGATTTAAGGAAGCACTTCTTTACACAGCGTGTAGTCAGAGTATGGAATAGTCTTCCTGATAACGTAGTGCAAGCTGAATCCTTGGGTTCCTTTAAATCAGAGCTAGATAAGATTTTAACAACTCTGAGCTATTAGTCAAGTTCTCCCCAAGCGAGCTCGATGGGCCGAATGGCCTCCTCTCGTTTGTATAGTTCTTATGTTCTTATGTTATGCTGATGATACACAGATAAGCCAGATGATGCATGACAGCTCTCTCGGTTAGAAGACTGTCTACTAGATATCCGGTGCTGGATGGTAAAGAATGTCCTTATGTTAAAGACAGAAAAAACAAAAGTATTGTTAGTTGGTCCGAAAGGCTGCTCAAAATAAAGTTTGACAACTTCAACCTCTGTGGTCTTCCTACCCAACTTAACACAGTGATCAGAGATCTTGGTGTTCTGGTTGATTGAGATTTGTTTCGATGCTCACATAAGTAGTATTACTAGAACTGTGTTCTACCATCTATGGAACATAGCCAAGCTTCAGAAGATCCTCTCCTTTTATGATGCAAAAAAAATGATACGTGCCTTTATAGCTTCCAGACTACACTACTATAATGCCCTCCTTTCTAGTTGCCCATCCAGATCCTTACATAAACTTCAGCTGGTACAAAATGCAGCAGCAAGAGTTCATATAATCACAAAAAATTTGATCATATTAGCCCTGTTCCTTTTACTGGCTTCCAGTTAAGTATCGGATTGACTACAAAATACAATTAACTTATAAAGCACTGAATGGCCTTGCACCAGAATACCTCAGAGATCTACTGGTCTCTTATAACCCTCCTCACTTGCTTCAATCTCAAGGAGCAAGAAATCTATTAGTACCTAGGGTAGAAAGATCTATGGCAGGCTGCAGAGCTTTCTCTCATAGAGCTCCTGAGCTGTGGAATAATCTTCCATCCGCTGTGTGACATTCAAGCTCACTTTCATTAATCAAGTTTAGACTAAAAGCACACTTGTTTAGTTTAGCTTATAGGGAGTCTAGTTCTAGCTCTACGTAACTGTTCAATCCCAGTCAGACCTATAGTGTGAGGTGTAGAGCTGGGTGAGGATTAGTGCCATTGGCTTTGGATGAACTGAACTTTCAGTACAGATTTTCTTTGTGTTTACTTTCTGTAGGTACCCTCTTCATCTACCAAAGTGCAGCAAGAACCAGCAGAACACCTGGCTGGGTCTAGCGTCCAAACCATCTCTCCATGCCACGGCACCTGTACAGAGCTTATACATATTCATACAACGTTCTAGTACAGATGGACCACATACATATTTATCTGTCTTTTAAGAAAGAAAAAAAACCTCTTGCCAAAGAGCCTACAGCAGATTAAGGTGGCAAATGGGGGGAGAAAAACAGCAGCAACAGTTACTATTGCAGGTCGAACAGGCTTTTATCAGAGAACCTGACACAACAAAAAGTGCTAACATCTTCTTTACCTTGGGGGTAAATTACAGACTCTTAGCTGCCATTCAGTTACACATTCGCTTCAGTTTGATATCCTCTATAAAAACAATGAAACAAAAAAAGTGCCCATTAAATTATACGTTTAGTGATCTTAATATGATTAACATGCCTATGGATTGTTCTGCATTTTTAAGTTCAACTAATTAAAAACAAACAAATAAATAGACATGATTTGGCCCTGGGGGTTGTTAGACTGGAAAATGTGTTAGGGGAATTTCACCGAGCAACCGCAGCGACATGTAGTAAGTTCCTCGCAGACACAGATATTACTGTGAACGGATTGGAGCAGCTACACGTGTATAGACACCCATATGTTTATACACATGCACACACACACACACACCTGTGGTTCCCCATTAAGGTCCCAATTAAGGTCTCAGACTGAGGTTGTGTTGATTAAGTATGTGACAAGGATTTCTTTAGCTCAGTCTTTCCCAACTGTGTCCTCAGGGACCCACAATCGGTCCATGTTTGTGCTCCCTCCGAACTCCCTGCTAGACAGTCCACATTTTTGCTCCTTACTGGGAGCTAGTAGGGAGCAAAAATGTCTGTGGGTCCCCGAGGACCGGATTAGGAAGTACTGCTTCCGATGAAGGGCTCCCCATTCTGAACAACACAACATGGGTAATCCTAAATCAACAGAAGGCCAAAGCAAATCCGGCAGCTACTGGCCTATTACAAGAAAGTAACAAACAGCGATATCACTCAGTACATTCACTGTGTGAAGTAGTATCTACTGACTGAGCAGTGGTGCTCAAGCTGTAGAATTTACAGACCATTCACAGGGAGCAGCTCATCAATCTTCAAAAATGTACTGCATGATTCCTAAACGGTAAAACGTGTCAGAGAGAAACCACAGAACTTTCCAACCCTGGACAAGCCGTGATGCAGCAGCCTTCGGTGAATTGCCACTATCCGGGCTGGGTACTTCCAAACAGAGCAGGATACTTTGAAGGCATTTAAAGGGGCCGCGCACTATGTGAGCAAAGCAGCAGCTTGGAGAAAGGGGAGAGGTGAGTGTCACAGGCCCCAGCTGCCCCTGACTACCAAAGGGTAAATCACGTTCAGGACTGCGGCCAGCAGGGCAGCCAGAGTGCCCAGGACAAAATATCTGACGCAGTCGTCGTCGGAGAAATCTGAGAGGCGCTCCTGGTGCGGCCGCTGTCCCTCCGGCCTTCTTCTATGGAGTCTGTGACGCGACAAGCTTGGCCACGCCGCCTCTTCTCCTTCTGCGTCCTCTTCCAGTTCCTGCCATATTAGAGAGGCCTGCGATTGGCGGAAACCTGTGTCAGCTTCAGGCAAAGTGTGCGTTTACTCCACAAGCAGCCTTGAAGCTGGAAAGCTCCCCCCAGCAGCACCGAAGAGAGCAACACCCTGTGCTCACCATTAAAAGCAGGACTGATGACACTCGCTCAGGAATTTGACAAAAATCAAGAACTATTTGGAGCACATGGCACATGTGAACTTTCAGACCATCACCTGGGAGGAGGGCGAGAGCGCTTCAGCAGATCACTTACGCAGTGGAGAACGGCATGAATGGGGGCTCAGCATCTCAGCTGCTGTCACAGGGTTCTTGCTGCACTTTGGTAGGTATCAGCCTGCTTTCACCCAGCGAAAGCAACCACTCAATGACACTTTATTAATAATCATTTACAATGTTTTCTCATTTTAACATTTATCAAATCTTTTGGAAGAGTACTTAAGGTGGCAGGCACCTTTAGGAGGATGGATTCAGTTAAGAGAAAAGACCTGAGCAGTTGCGTGTCTGCAGTCATACATCCACTTAAATTCAGGGAAAACAGCTAATTTGAAAGGTGCTTCTGTAAACGCATTTGGGAAACAGAGTGGGAATGTCTTCATGAATGTCAGGGAAGCTGTTACAGAACATAACCCCCAACAAGGGAATCACTTTTTAAAGATTAAATAAAAAAAAAAAAACCTTCCGTAGGAAAACCTGCAGGCTCCTAATGGTTCATACACACTGAAGGAAGTTTCATTTTGTCATCAATATGAACAGCAAAGGATGGCAAAGAAACCTCCTCAGGGCTGACCAAAAGTATTTCACACATGGATAGACTGTATCCTGGTGACAGATTTCACATGTATGATGTACATGTATACTGTCATAAACCATGCACCCATGCAGCTGTCATCATGCAGAAATGACTGATCATACATGAAAAATAAAGCAAAGATTAGGGCTATTTATTATTGACAGAAGACACCCCTGCTTCATTCATTCCATTTCTTCATAACATGAAAGCAGCTTGTCAGTGAAAGACTGTATTTCCTTTTCAGGAGATTCAATCCAGTAGGGGATTCCTTCACAAGAACATAAAATGCACAGTCTCCAGAGAATATGTGCAGTGTGAGGAACAGTGACAGAAAAGCCACATCCCACAACATGCCAGCAAACAGCCCATCCCTGGTCAGGACTGATCCCTTAAGCACGATGCTCATGCTTCACTTCGCCGTGTGCCAGTACGATCTGCGTGCAGTGCGAATAAATGGAAATCTCGCCATCATGAGTGTCTATGCAGACTGTGCACATGCAGCCTACATTTTGGGCCTAGGGACATTTTGCACATCAATATACGTCAACTGCACATGTGCAACAAATTGACAGTTCGCTGGTCTGGTGGAATATCATTGCTATACGTGTGCATATACGCAGTGTATGTACACAGAAGTCGCACGATCGTAACAGCACCCGTAAAAGTGAAGAATGAACTAGGCGTAAACGGTACCTGATCACCAACATTTCACAAGGCTTTCAGCTACTGTTCACCCTCCTTACACAAATAGGCTTTAAAGTGGACAAAAGCCACCATGAACATTCAATATTAATATTAAGATGAAGTTACTAGTTTACCAACGTAAACTTACTGTACTTGGGGTAAAATCAATGTCAGGAAGCAGTGATGCTTCTTTTCCTAATTCATTTGTGTCTGTACTCTGCCTGGAAGTTCAACTGTGCCCAGCAAGATCAGCTTGCATGTGGTTTCTGAGGAACACCTGGACATGGATGTTAGCATAGATGGCATCCCATAGGGCCCTGTGACTGGTTTTGCTCTTGCTGGGGGGACCCTGAGACAGTCCATGTTTTTGCTCTCTCCCAACTCTCAGGGAATTGGGATAGAGCAAAAACATGGACTGTCTGAGAGACCCCGAGGACAGGTTTGAAGAGCACTGACATAGGACACTTTGGCTAGTCCATCTATCAAGGTACCACTAGTGGAATCTGTCAGGCTTTGATCTTAGATAAAATTCTCTAATAAACAAAGACAGATAGTGTGCTTACACACATTCATGCACAGCCCCATGGACAGCAGGTGGATACCGGTGCAGGCGGACAGGGTACAGCACACCAACCTGACTGGCTGCTGCTCCCGTGGCTATGGGCAACTCCGCCCCCCGGGGGCTGGCCAGGCGCGCGGGCCGCTCCACAGGAGAGTTCCGCCGGCGGTAGAAGAGCACATAAGCGTAGCGTGTCACCACCTGGCTCTCCTCCACCGTGGTCACGGTGCTGTCATCGAAGAGCCGCCAACCTTGGAGGGATAAGAGGAGCCATGAAAGATACTGTGGATGTTAGCACACAACATCACAGACTCAAGAGGAACGTTCCACCGCAAACATATCTTTATGGGGACCACTCATTCATTTCTATGGGGAAAATGCTAACACTAACTTTGACACACACACACACACACACAGACACACACACACACACACACAGACAGAGACAGAGACACTCACCCACGTCACTGCGCTGACTGTTCTTGTCGCTGGGTAGCCGGGCGTAGGCAGTATAATGCCCCCCAATCATGCCGCCGTAATGATTGATGACAGCATACAGGTCATAAATGGGTGGGTGCTGCCTGTCATCCTTCTGCCCGATGCAGAATTTGCTGAGGTCCAAGTTCCTGAAATCAAGCAGAAATATAATGATGTCCATTAAAAAATAAGCAATTTAATGATGCATTGCCCCAAGGGGCCAGCAGTACCTGACAGGGAAGTCCACCATGTCATTGATTTTGTCCCTCCAGATGAAGCTGCGGAAGGAGAAGCGCTTGAGCTGGATGATGAGCACATTGGGTAGGCGCCACAGCATTAGCTGCTTGGAGGCCTCCCTGTGCTGCTGGCACTTGGGACAGTACCTGAATGGGGAAAGGGGCACATGGTGAGGCTGGGTCACCTCGGCAACCATGATATGGCACCAGGTCTGGCAGAGGTAACAGGAGCACCATAACCAGAAACTGTGCCAAATAATACAATGAGGAATCAAGGGCTGATGATCACGATGATGAAGAAAACATCTTATGTTACAGCTTCAAATTGTCTAAGCCTATCAGTGAGCTGCGTATAGTTATTTTTTATTGGAGTCTTTGATGAAACCTACAAACACTAGAACAGAATGACTCTAAATATGGCGAAGAATGTTATTGTGCAGTTCAGTAAATATTTAATTTCATTCTACAACTGGAGAAAGTGTGCGTGCATATATTTTATATATTATATATAAAAATGAAACCTGCAGTTCCAGCAATTCAAGCTTAGATTTAAGTAAAAATGAAATGCAGTACTGTACATAGCATTAAATAAAAAAAAAAGCCGAAATACAAAAACAGCATTAGTGTAAATCGTGGTATTACAGGCCTCCTTCCCGGGCAGAGGTCCGGCGTACCATGCCTCCTCCGGGGCGAGCACCTCCGGTCTGGTGAAGAGGTTCAGGCACTGCTCCAGGGTGAAATGGCCGGCCCGCGCAGTCTCACTGGCCGACCCAGCGTCCTCCATGTACTCGAGCTCCTTAGACTTCACCAGCACGTATTCCTTCAGCCGCTCATTGTTCTTCCACACCAGCTCCAGGGTGGAGTCCTCTAGAAGATCCAGGGCCGCATCACCTGGGGGAGGGAGGGCTGCTTGCTACCTGTCATCTTAACACCATTTTAACACGAGACAAAATGGCGGAAACGCTTTTGGCTGATTCAAGATGGCCAGCCTTCTAAGAATAATGATTATGATGAAACGTATGAAAGCTGCGATGCCCCTGCCCGTGAAAGCTGCGATGCCCCTGTCCGTGAAAGCTGCGATGCCCCTGTCCGTGAAAGCTGCGATGCCCCTGTCCGTGAAAGCTGCGATGCCCCTGCCCGTGAAAGCTGCGATGCCCCTGCCCGTGAAAGCTGCGATGCCCCTGCCCGTGAAAGCTGCGATGCCCCTTTCCGTGTAAGCTGCGATGCCCCTGTCCGTGAAAGCTGCGATGCCCCTGCCCTTGAAAGCTGCGATGCCCCTGCCCGTGAAAGCTGCGATGCCCCTGCCCATGAAAGCTGCGACAGCCTCACCCCTGTCCTCCAGCTTGTGCTCCTTGTTGGAGGCGTCCAGAAGGGAGATGTAGAACTGGGAGGTGGGACCAGATGTTGACTCAAGGCTGGGCTGCTGGTATCCTGTCACCACAGCTGGGAGCAGAGTCACCCAGATACACATCATCAAGATCACAAGAAGAGATTAGAAATTAAAGTTAGCCACAAAACCATCCATCCATCCATCCATCATGCCTAATACAGGGCTGCCATGAGCCACAAGATCAGCAAGAGAAAACAGTGAAGTGAAAGCCTGTGATATGTCTCCAACTCCCCGACATTCCACACCTTCTGGCTTAAGAGCCTTCTCGCATGACGTCTCCTTCTCTGCCAGGGAATCGTGGGAGTCCAGCAGGCTCTCTGAGAAACCTGAGTCCACAGTACGAGAACAAGAGGTGGAGGAGGAGTGTAGATTTCCTGCAGACTGTCCCGCAGCCTGCTGTGCCTCAGCGGCTGTGCTGGAAGTCAGGCTGGGGTTCTCCAGCTCCTCCGAGTCCCTGGTGCTGCTAGACCCTGTGTCCGCCTCCTGAACCACACCGTCCAAGACCTCTGACGCCACAGAGGGCAGATCCACGCGGTACTGGCCAGCCTCTGGGGACACTCGGCCGGACTGGTACGGAGGCTGGAACACGTCTACGGAGTACCTGGGCAGGGGAAGGTATGAGATGAAGGTCCTTGTGCTTTTGGTCGATAACCTAATGCACCCAAGTCTCGTGCGAGTCCCTCATACCTGGAGTAGCCCTGCAGGAGCTGGCTGAGCCGGGAGTAGGTCAGTCGGGACTCAGGGATGCTGACTAGGAAGGGGAGGCCCACATTCTCCACATTTGGGCGACAGAGGGTCTTATGCACAGGCCAGTGATTCTTCTGACAAATTCTAAGCAAAAAGTGGAAGGAACTCAAATCAGCTGCTCCAATTATAAGGGGAACCAGAAGTACCACACGAGTAGTCATATCATTACTGCCCCCTTGTGGCATCCTGGCTGTGCACACCAAGGCACAGACCCCACTGAGTGCTGCCCGCTGCTGATGATGACTTACTGATTGCAGTATCCCACGCGGTAGCATCGCGTGCAGCGCCGCAGCTTCTCATCCTCGCCCTGTGGGGGCTTCTGGCAGGCGGCACACTTGCTGATGGGGAGGCTAGGGACCTGTGGTCTCTGTGCGGTAGATCACAGCATAGTCAGTATCACTTGATGAACCAACCCATGCGTGTCGTCAGTGACGCTGGTTCCACTTGCAGCAGTCAATCGGCATTATGCACTCGAGGCACAGTTTACCTGCTGTACCCGCAGGATAACGACCCGCTCCTTGGCCAGCTCTTTCGAAAGCACCTCAAAGCACAGGAGCATGTCCGAGGGAGAGACCGTATCCAGGGAGAAGGATGGGTGGAAGATTCGATTGAAACGATTCTTACAGACCTGCAACCCAGACAATAATCCTCCAGTCAGAATAAGAAATGTCAAATTGCTTCAAACAAGCTGTTATTCAACCAGGGAAACAGGAAATCTTCACAATATGGAACATCTCCTCCCTCTAAAGGTCAACTTGCAATGTTGAACATCTCACTGCAAAGGTCACTAAAAGTATATTAAGAGCATACTCAGTGGGTGCTGACCTTCTGAACATGTGACTCATAACAGTACTGGATGAATGTATGTTATATCTCTGAGGTTTGTCTGACACAAAATCCTAACTAAATCCACCAAAAATCTTAACAAGGCTTCCAAATATACTGCAACAATCCTGCTAGTGAAGAGGAGGATAAAAGCAGGGTGGAAGAGCACCCTACCTCTGCCAAGCGCAGATTCTCCTGCTTGACCCGCACACTTCTGGATATGGACTCCAACACCTCCGCTGTGCTGGAATTCTCTTTGCTGACACTCACCAAGAACTGGCACACAAACACAGAAGGTATTAAAATGAAGAGGCAACAGAACTGAACTAATGTAGCAGCCAAAAGTGCTCTATTAGAATGGGCACATACAAAAATATATGCTTAATTGCAAAATACCACCATGTAAAGTGTGTTTTACCTTGATGGGTGTCTTGTGAGGTTCCTTTGCAAAGTAAAAGACTGTCAGGATTTTCTGCTTTTGAGGTAGGGGGACTGGCAGGTACAGGAAGGGGTCAAATGTTATGGACACCTGAAAGGTTTAAAAATGACAGAATAAAGACTGCTGTTCCAAAAGGACAACCAATATCCATCCATGGAACAGTCTCCCATCTGCTCACCCAGTCAAGGGTCACAGATGGCACAATGGGAAGGGTAGCACACGCACACTCACACGCACAAAGGCATTTCAGAGATGCCAATTAGCTTGTTTGGACAGGGTGCAGTGACTGAATGTCCAGTCTTGGAAGTATGAGGTGCTGAGCCACTGTACTGCCCCTCACAGCCTAAACATCACACTGAAAACTGTGCTTGATCAGCTTAATCACACTATCCAACTATGATCCAAGAACCTCCCTGACCTAATTAAGAAGCATTCATTCCAGCAGGGAGGTGCCTATGGCTAATCTTTCAACAAGTTTGATCATTTGCACCACAGAGCAAAAAAAAATTAAAAAAATATATAAATAATAAGGGAGTCAAGCAGTTTGACCAGTGAAAGCCACTTATCTTCAGTTTAAGGAATAATAATTTAGCTCAACCAAATAATTTTCAACCAAATCAGAGTTTTAGTGTTGCGAAAAATTCCAAGATATAAAGAATAAAATATCTGCGCCGTGTGATGGATAGGCCGCCCCTCCAGGGATGCACCCGCACTTTGTGAGGCTGCCCAGTATGATGTGTGGCTGGTGGACGGCTTCAGCAGCTGCTCTAACCCGCAGGTAATATGTACCTTGGAGCAGATGGGACAGACCAGCTTGGACTTGTACTGGCCTTGGAAAAGGTCCACAATGAAGGAGTCGTTCCTCAGCTTGTGCCTCTGCCAGGCCTCCTCAGCCACAACCTGCATGTTGGACAGAGAGAGAGGAGTCCAGGTTCACGTACAGGACATGCCACTGTTCGCCTCATGCCCTTAGCCCGGGCCACCATCATGCCCGCTTCCCCGGCAGGAGCCCGCCGCGGCCATCGCACCTCATCCTGCCGCCCGTCTGAGTCCACGGTCTCGGTGTAAGGCTTGTTCTGGATGCGGTTCAGGTCCTCATGAAGCCCGTCCAGCAGGAACGCCATAAACTCCTGAGCGTCATGCTGGGCATACCCAGTGAACTGGCTGGCCTTGCTGGCCACGATGGCCTTAGGGCATGAGAAAATGCCAGTCAGCACAGGCATTAGGACAGCAAAGGCAACGGCCAGAGGAGGAATGTCTCAGAGAATGAATGGCTGAATGGTACCAAACAAATCTGTAGCACCTCAGATAAGCACAGTGATATCTCTGGTGTCTCCACTAATGGCTATATGACTTCCTAAAAGCACAGTAGGCACAAAGCGAGTGCGCACACACACACAGCTACATGTCTAGTCTGGCTATATAGTATAGCATCCTGTAAAAGTATCCTCTTTTCATTCCGGATGGACTCTGAACACCTCAGGTGTTGACAAACCAAGTGTTCACCATTATATTACAATCAAATCACAACTGAAATTCAACAGCAAAAGTGAGAAGTGGTTTTGTAATTTGACATTAAAAAAACCATGTTAATGATTTCAGTCAATCAGGGGCCTAATGAGCATTCTCTAATGTGACTTCAAAGGTCTGATTCATTAGCCTACTGAATCAAAGCCAATTGATTACAATTGCAGGTGAAACAGAGCAGGACCGAACAGGACTGAAAGCCTGGGCTAGTTAAGTAGCAGCAGATAAAAGCACCAGGGGGATCCCTGATAATGTGGAGAAATCATGTCATAATGTGTAATGTTTGACTGAAGTGGCATTGTGGTGGGGCGAGGCAGGGCAGGGAGGAGCTGAGCGGAAGGCGGAAGGGGGCTGAGGAGTGCTGAGGATGCACCTTGAGCTTGGAAGGCTGGAAGGCATGGTGGGTGCCCTTCCAGAGGGCTCGCAGCAGTACGGCGAAGCCGATGGCTAGTCGGCCGCCTGTACCCAGCGGGTTACTGCAGTTGATCTCGGCTTCGAAGGCGCGATCTGAGCGGCGATGGACAAAATGGAGGAAGTTCACACAAACAACCCTCATCCATAAACCAAGAGAAATTAAACGCACAATTTAAAAAGGAATCATGGTACCACGGAAGATTCAGGGAAACCACGGTCACTTGGCGTAAGCTCCACCTAAGAACACGTATAATGCCTCACAAAGCCTGGCTCACCGTGGAAGTAGTCCCGCAGCTCCCGTGTGTTGGACAACGACTGGATGACGCTGTTCATGAAGCACGTGTTGCCGAGGTTGACCAGGCCTGTGAATCCCGGCAGGCACACCTTCTTCTCCTCCTCCTCTTCCGCACGCTCGCTGTTCATGGGCGGTGCGTGCGTCATGGGCGGCACCATGCACATCGGTTTCGGCTGAAGGAAGAAGTCATGGTTTTCCCACCATGCCGTGACAAACTCCCCGAATTCTCCATTTTAGCACCAAGGACTCTCTCTTGGTTTAAAATTAGCGATTAGACGCTGTGCGGCTGACATGCCTCCATGGTTATTTGTGGCAATCCCAGCTGCCTGCTGTAATTCCAGGAGCCGGAGCAAGCAGCCTTACCCGTCTCCGGAGGACAAGATGTCTCCTCACTCACCGTGGCCACTAGGGGCTCCTGCTTGATGGGGACATGCTCGACGACCGTGCGAGTGGCCACACCGTCCAGTCCCCCGTCCTCGGTACGGACAGGCTTGTCATTCTCCACGGCCCGGGGTTCTTCCTTGGCGGGGAGGGGGTGCTGGCTGCCCCCAGGCTGGCTCTTATCGAGAGAAGCGGGCCCGGAGGGCACAGCGACCTTGGCGCCACCCACTGCACCTTAAACAGGGGAGGAAAGAGCTTGTGGTTAGATGCTAAATAAGGCTGTTGCACAACCAGCGGGGGACCGAGCAGAAGCCAGGCGGCAGACCTTGTGGGGCTGGGGCCTCCAGGCCCCCCCAGCGCTGGCTGTGCCTCTTCTTCAGCGTGATGTCGATGCGCAACGGCGTGAAGGCATAGGTACACTGGTCAGGGTCAATGAGGTTCCTGAGTTTCACCTGCCACTTAAAGACAGTGTTTGGTCCACAGTCCGAGTGAAGGCGCAAAAAGTTTGGATCACTGTCAAATAAAAAACATTTTAAAAAATGAGTGGTACATTAGCCTCGTTAAACACCCCGCATGGAATGTCTAGAGACCAATTTACCCCCATTGATTCAGGGATCAACAGTGTTTTAGCTGGAGGAGGAAGAGAGCTGCCACCTGGTTTGGAAGATGAGCGTGAAGTCCTGCTCTCGGAATAGCACCTTGGCCGTCTCTCTGCAAATAGCCTTCAAGTACACATTCACTACCATGAGGTCGTTCCCCTTCTCGTAGGAATCACTCTTCACGAATGTCAAGTTCACCATGGGTTCTGGAGCTGTAGGAAAAACAGGGGGGCTTTAGAAATGCCTCCAGAGCAACACACTATGACAGGGGTTATCCACAACCCGGACGTCTTCAGGCTGTAATAAATATTATGTGGTTTACAACGGACTTCAAGAGCAAAACTGTCATTCTTTAAAATCATTTACCACACCTGCAACTATGGAATGCAACATTACATACGACTTAATATGCAAGGTTGTTCTGTTTGCATCCTTCAACGTTCATGCTCACAGTCTGGCACAGAGTAAATTCTTGCATCCATCAGTATGACGCAGAAGCAGTGTTAATTACAGCACTCTGCTGGACGGACAAACTGACTGGTCACAGCTTTCTACTCTCAGTTCAATCACCAACCCTGTTGTATTTTGGGTAAAAAAAAAAACTGACCAAATTCTTCTTTGGATATGTCTGTCTTCTCCTCCATGTCTGTCTGGCAGGAATCCTTGTCCTTCTTGTAGGTGGTCACCTCAGGCTGTGCTGCCACGGGCTTCCCCGCCTCAAGACTGTCGGATGATGAAGTCATCTCTACCTCTGTGGGTACAGGGTCTGGGGGCTGCTCCCCATGTGTGCTTGGCTTCAGCATCCCTTGAGAGGGCTCCCTCTGGTGGCCGTTCTCCACAGAGGGTGGAAGGTTTGCTTCGTTATGATCCGAGACCCCAGGGCTAGTCTGTGTCAGGGGGACCTGTCTGCCTGGCTCCTCCACAACTGCCACCTGGAAAAAAACAATAGAATCTTGGAAAAAAACATTTGACTGAGGGAAACTGAGCTTCGTAGATAGAAGAGGAACCAAATGGTATAATGGTCAGAAAACCAAATGCAAGGAGGAGGATCCGAAAGCTTATTCACCTGCAAATCAGTCAAAAACAGAAGAAACAGGCCTCCAGTTGCAGGTTCACTCACCTGAGTTTTGCTGCCTGGCTTTCGGTCCTCCAGTGCTACCACCTGTGGCGACAGACCCCTCTGGTCTCCGCTTGTCTTCCTTGGCTGGCGGTCATGGCCCTGAGGAGTGCCTGGGTCCGGCAGGATGTCGGGACTGGTACAGGCCGAGGTCTTTGTCGCGGCCTCCCTAGGGAGACCAAGCCCAGTGTCCTTGGAGCTCCTGGTGGCCCGGCTTGTCCGCTTGGCACTGGGTTCAATGGGGATGTCCACCTTGCCCAGGGAGACGATCAACCCGGTGCCCTTCACCCCGGGTTCAGATTTCTCAGATGGCTTGTTCTTGGCGCGCTTCAAGTTGCGGTCCAACTTGCCTCTTTTGGGCTCGGGTACCGCAGATGGCTGCCCAGGGCCTTTGTCCAACTGGGCAACCTCCTCCACTGGCATGGGCTTCCTCAACTCCTGCCCTTTACTGTTGCCCGTCTTGATTTTCATGGGCTCGTCGTCCTTTTTGTTTCGCTTAAATGGGGCGAACATGCAAAAGTACGTTCACCTTTAGGTCAGGCAGTACTTAACCGTAAGTGGGTTCCGACCCATGGGATGGCATATGGGGGCACGCAGAGTACCTTACCGTGAGCGAAGGCCAAGAGTTAAAGGGGATCTTCTTCTGCATGACCAGCTGCAGGTAACTGCCCTTCTCCTTGTACTGTACCTTGCTGCAGGAACTCTCAATCTCTGCATGCAGGTGGCAGCTCCACTGACGCCCATCTGCAGCAAGACAACGGGCCCATGGGACCATAAATCCTCAGGACAGACACTTTGAGTTTAAGAATGGGAGCCAAGGCCTGACAGGTTTAAGCCCTGGAGACATTCCGTTTACCCACTGCTACTCATGGCTCATCACTGATTTTAATGTCTTGATATAAACAAACGTAAAGGGCATGAGAATATCCTACCATTTTGCTCATTAAGGTGTAAACACTGAACCAATCTGAGTAAGACAGGGTGGGATTACCTGGGAAATTAATCTGACAGGCGGTGTCTGAGAAATCTGCGCTGACGTCCTCCACTCTCGTGATCCCATCACCCGAGCGCAGCTTCACGATCACCTCGTTGGCATTCTGCTTCCAGTCAAAGAACATGTCTAGGACAGAGACAGAGCACACTCAGGGTGCAGACCGACGCACCGCAGGACAGTGGCCTCCAGAAGAGCTCTAAAAGCACACCCACCACTTTCTTTGTTCATCACACAAAGTGCTACACAGCCTTACCTGAAGAGAGCAAAGTTACCCCTATGGATACCTGTGCGATTGACAGATGGAGGGAACGATCTGGCAGAAGGAAATGGAATGACATGGGACACCACAGTGATACTGTTCACACACACATACATACCACAAACACAAACTACATAAGCTAAATTCTCAAAGTGAGATTTAGGCCACATACATGACATCTTAATCAATCTTTATTTTGCCTTGATTCACTATGCCAAAAACATGTCACCATCAAGTGTTTTCAAATATGACCATTACAAAAAGTAGGAAAGGAGCTATTCAATTACACAATATGGAAACATAGGCTCAACAAAACAGTGAGATGTCTTCCGCTGCCTCAAAGACCTCCTAAGTATGTGGAAAGGCTTTCTAACACAGAGGCCTAATGCTGTAATATACTGTATACTACACGGCTGTTTCAATTCCCAAGTCTACACCAACTTTTTTTTACGCTGCCAAGCAGCATTCAAAAAAAAAAAAAAAAAAAACTGTGCTTATTAAAAGCACTATTGCTTAATGAGGTCTACAGTATCACAAAAATTACCGATTATCAAAAAACTGAATCTATAAACATATTTATAAACATAACTAATTCTAAAATGGAAGTAGAGAACATCTTATCTGCCAGAATGCCTAGAGATCAAAAATGACAGCAATTCAAACAAACAGTTACACACCTGCAGCACCTTTGCTCATACCAGCAATAGAGGCTACTCTTCCTTAAAATCACATGTTGTCATATTCCCATGGAGTGATCAGTGAAGCAAGGGGGCTTCCAGTTTAGGCTACAGAACTCTTTCCCGTCTATAATCCTTCTCACCATTACAGCTATGTCCGGCTGCGCACCACACACGACTCCAAATGCACAGTCATCTAAAGGTCAGAAAACAGAGGGCAGCCGCTGTCCTCAGCAGACAGCCCCAAACACTCCCTCTAAGTGCTATAGTCATACACACTGTAATTCTAAGATTAAAACCATGCAGGCGGGCCAATGTTCCCCCATACCAAACAGTCCAGAAACAGGGCTGGCCTCCCCAGCGAGCCTCGGTCAAACTGGTCAGGAAAGGAGAGGCAGCTCTTTGCGTGACCTTGACACAACCAATGACACTGGGGTCCGTTTTGCTCCGGCTTGTATTTCAACACTTCAGCATTCAGCAAGGTGGTAATTGGAGCAAGATACTCCACACGAGCGTGTGTGTGCATGTGCACACGCACGCACACAAACACTCACATCTTTATGGGGACTCTCCATTGATTTCTATCAGCAAAAACCTAATCCCAACAATGAAAACCTTTACTCCTACCCAACCCTAACCTAACCTTAACCGTAAGTAACCAAACAAGACAAAATTAGATTTTTTGACTGTATTTACAGATTTTTTAAAAAATTGAAGTTATCCTTATGGGACGGAAAGACATGTCCCCCAGTTCTCTCTCTCTCGCTCTCTCTCTCTCTCACACACACGCTCCCAGAAACTCCCAAACAAGGACTATAAAGGACTATTCCACAGATTATTTCCTCATTATTGATTACTCTACAGAATGAGCACCTGTGAAAGGTGGAATGATATAAACAAACCAATGAATGAAATAAAATGGATAAATATAAAAACGTATGTGTTATATTACAACATAATATATTAATTTCCCTAAATTGCTAATTGGAAAAAAAAGAGGTTAAAAGTAATTCCGTTAGAACGAGCGTAGGATGGTTGAGGGGCTATTTAAAGAGCACTACCGAACATGAGAACATATGTTGAAGAGAATATCTGGCTTTCTGAGCTCTCGCTGACATTAATTAAGAGGCACCCTTCCAGTAATCCCATGGGATCTGTAACTGGAATCCGTCAATGTGCGTTCATCTTAAACAGACACAGACACACAGGCCCTAATTACACTTGGTTTTAAAATGCATCTTGGGTGACGGGATCACAAATAGACAGCCAAATTACTTCGCCATATACACCTATGTCTATTATGCATCTCCAAGGTGTCCAACTGACCACCTGCATTCAGACTGCGTTACTGCACACAGTTTTTGTGAAAGTGGTTTGTGTGATCCCATCGCCCAAGACGCATTTTAAAATCAAGTGTAAATAGGGCTATAAACATGCATGTGCATGCACACACACACAGCCCTGTACATACTCTTACAACACACAGGGGGCAACATTTCAATAACCCCTTATTTAAAGAGCTCATTCTATCCCATTTCCCTCAGCATCACAGAGGCTAACAATACTCCTCATTTGGAGGAAGGCCAATTTAAAGCAATGTTGGAAAAAATTTACAGCAGTATGTTAAGATATATATGGTTTTCATTAAAGTTTAAAATTTATCTGGTATTCAGACATTAAAATAACCAAGTGCTTTGTTTACAGATGTCTAGGCATCACCCTACACTGAATTATGCTAAAAAAATAATTTCATTCCACCTTTTGTTTGCATGAGTCCAATTTAGCCTTCCCCATAATGAATTTGTCTGGCTACATATGTTTCCCTTATAAATTATAAAAACATTTCCTGTCAAACAGCAGTACTTCACCATCAGCACTTTTCCACACTTTCAGAATTCTGAGGTTTTCAATCTTGGATTCAAACTTAATCACCTCCTTGTGCTAGTTTCATAATAGTGTGTGTGTGTGTGTGTGTGTGTGTGTGTGTGTGTGTGTGTTACAGCAGTCAGAAGCTACCATTTTAATAATTACAAGGACTATTGTCCGGGCAACAGATTCCCATTGTTACACCGAGCCTAAGAAAAGAACCTGACTGTCATCCAACTGCATACCAACGCGTGTCACCCTCAGATCCATGTGTGCCAGCAACAAAGGAAAGGCCTTTTGGAGTACGTTTCCACAGCATGGCGATGGAAGCATTTCACACCGAAGCGGAGATAAGTGATCCTTCTATCTTCACACACACCTGTCCTGATAAAGCAGGGATCTAGCAGGCCGACAGGTACATTTAACCATCTTTATTTTTCCTCCAAATTGAGGGCAATAATGGTGGATGTACAACAGCACAAATTATAGTGTTAAGCCACCCTTCCTTTTAAAACAATATACAGTAATAAACAATACACACAACTAAATGGAATCTGATGCATTCCATTATTTTTATCTGCCTTAAATTCATGGCTCATAAAACAAGAGCCATGTACAATGTACCATTTCCCAAATTCCCAGGATTTCATGCTACCAGAATCAATTATGGCACTTCTTCCCCTATGCTGACACACAGAAGGTTCCCTACAACTGATGCACTCATAGGTTCAAAATCTGTGGACTGGTGAACATATGGTCCACTGCCAAGCAACAGGCCAAGCATGACTTCCCAAGATTCAGCAAAAACAATGACTCCATTCACTGACAGAATTAACTGTAAAGTAAAATGTGTAGGAAGGATGCGCACATTTGTAAATTATTTAGTGTTAATATGCTGTGAAGAGTCAGTGGTTAGAAACAGTGAGTCTCACAGCATGGCAGCATAGAGCCATTTGCCCTTGGCAAAACTATAACACAGAGTTTAAATGCATCTCCAATAAAAAACATTTTAACTATAGAGATAAATCCTGTTAAACGCCTCTTAAATCTGTATAATACCCTTTTCCACAAAATTTGAAACCCTGTTCACACAGGCAATGTAACCCGAAGCATGATAGCAGAGGAGGTCATTAAAGCATAACGTCAGGTGGCTTCTGTTCACAGCTCTAGCAGAACACCTGCCACATGGTTCCCCAGTCCCCTATCTACCCCAAGACGCTTAACATACTGCGACACCACAGCTCGGGGACCTACAGGGCACAACAGCCCTGTCTATTTGCAACCACAATGCTAACCATAAGCGCGTTCCTTTGTGCATGTAGCTATAGAGGCGGGCGGTAGATCAGTGTCAGTGTGATTGTGCGCCACGATATGCACTATACCATTAACAGCACCTAATTAAACAACTGCCTATTTATATTAAAAAAACATTTTATTTTCTTCAAAGCTTCAGTTATAATTTGAATACTTGTCCTTATATAGCATAAACTGGTTTATCTGCGTTGTGTGATTTTCTATTGCACACTAACGGGGTGTTGCAGTAGCTAATTTTTTTTAAAAAAAGAAAGAAAAACAGATTTTGTGTAATTATACACATTAAACCAGCGGTGGCCAATCTTATCCACAAAGGGCCGGTGTGTATGCAGGTTTTTGGGATAACCTGTAGGTCAGCTGTTCAAACCCAGGTGTGAGGACTCTTCAGCCAATCAGTCCTCTAATTAGTAATCTAATTAGGGAGTTGCGGTGAAAACCCGCATACACACCAGCCCTTTGCGGATAAGATTGGCCGCCCCTGCATTAAACAAAATAACCTGGTTAAATATATATAGTAGTAAATTAAAAAGCAAAACATATTCGTTAAATCAGCATATATATGGGCCACTTCCTTCATGCAAGGTGCGTGCTAAAACCACCCGTTTCCCATACCAATGAATGTCAAACTCCTTTAACCTCCAAGCAAAATGCAATTCGGCTTATGCAACCCTTTTGTTTGCACTAATATCTATTAGTGTTAACAGCAGTGAAGCTTAAGTCCTCAAAAAAGCCGTAAAAACCTTGAAACTCGAACGTCTCTTAACTTGACCAACTCGGACAATGAACGGATGTGTTTAATTTTTTTCGATCTATACCTCGACCTAAATCGTGAAACTCAGCCATTCCCGCTAAAACTTGAATGGGTCAACACGTGTTCAACTCTACCTATTCAGACCTTGAATGGGTCGGTCAAGAAAAATCTAACCACAACTTGACCGAAAATTCAGAACATGATAAAACAACATACGTGCTAAAACTTCTACAGATCGCGTCGCATCTCTGATGGGCTGAAGCAAAGGCAAACAATCAGACTGGGATGTTGATGCCTATGAATTGCTCTCAGTTTCGTGGTAACCCTCCACAGAGTTCAACATGCAGAAGCGGTGTTGCAGTATACGTAAAAGAAAACTTGCAGGCAAGGGATCTCACTGTTAAAAATAAATATTCATAAGCTGTATGGATAAAACTTGATGCTAAAGATTCAAATGGCCTAATTGTCGGGGTTTGTTATAGAGCACCTAATGTAGCTGTTGAGGAAAGCAGAAT